TCAGTGAGGGTGTCGACAAAGGCGGTCAGGGTGAGGTCACCCGGGTGCTGGCTAAGAAAGTGGTCGCGAGCACTAGCGAGGCGGTCTGGCAGGCGCATAGCGATAAATAGAGCGTCATGCAGAAAGGAGGGAGCGCAGTGAGCGGAGTGGGCAGCAGTGCTGGCAGTGCGATAGCGAGTCTCTAGGGCACGCAAATGAGTGGCAAAGTCTGCGACAGTAGGGAAGGCAGCCAGGTCTGGGAACAGCATCGGAAAGAGCAAGCGGCCAGCAGAAGCGGAGGCAGGGGTGGAATAGCGAGCAATAACGGCGTCTAAATAAGCTTTGGCCGTTTCAACAGTAGCAAAACGCGAGCGCTCAGACACAGGGAGGGCGTGACTAATAGCAACCTGAGCTACTGCATCGCGTGAGTCCCAGACCGCACAGGCCAGCGCAGCAGTAGAGAAAGCCTCACGGTCATCAGAGGAGGGGTCAGCACGGAGGGGAGTAGGTGCAGGGGGACGGGGGAGCAAGCCATCAGCATGGACAACCAGAGAGTGGCCATCCTGGCGCTGACCTGTAAGCTGGCGGCGGAGATCGGAGAGCCAGGCGGCGAAGTCAACCGCGTGGCCCTCAGCGTCCAGGCGGAGCACAAAGTCAGCCATCGTGCAGGGTCAGCGGCACAGCTCCTCAGCGACACAGCGGCACAGCAGCACAGCTCCTCAGCGGCACAGGAGCACAGCGGCGCGGGGACACGGCGGCAGCACTCTCCAGTAGGGCAGCAGCTAGGCGTCCCAGCGCAGGCGAGCAGAAGACACAGGGCCCGAGAGGACACGGCAGGCCGAGCAGGGGAGGCGGGCAGGTGCTCTGGGGCCGGGCTGGTGCTGGGAGGGGCCAGGCTGGTGCTGCTGGGGCCGGTCGGGCACGAGGGGCCGGGCAGCGCTGAGGAGAGGCCGGGCGGCGCTAGGAAGGGGCCGGGCGGCACTAGGAGGAGGCCGAGCGGCACTAGGAGGCCAGGCAGGCGAGCGCTAACAGCAGGCGCGACAGGGGCCAGCGGGCGCGACGAGGCCTAAGGGGCGCGACGGGGCCCAGCGGGCACGACGGGGCCCAGGGGGGGCGCGACGGGGCCGAGGAGGCGCGACGGGGACCAGCGGGCACGACGGGGCCCAGGGGGCCCGCGGGGCCTAGCAGGCGCGACGGGGCCTAGGAAGCGCGAAGGGGCCCAGCGGGTGCGACGGGGCCTAGGAGGCGCGACAGGGCCCAGCGGGCGCGACGGTGCCCAGAGGGGGCGCGACGGGGCCTAGGAGGCGCGACGGGGCCCAGCGGGCACGACAGGGCCTAGGAGGGGCGCGACGGGGCCGAACGGGCGCGACGGGGCCCAGAGGGGGTGGGACGCGACGGGGCTTAGGAGGCGCGACGATGCCTAGGAGGCACGACGGGGCTCAGCGGGCTCGACGGGGCCCATGGGGGGCGCGACGGGGCCTAGGAGGCGCAACGGGGCCCAGCGGGGGCGCGTTAGGGCCTAGGGGTCGCGACGGGGCCCAGCAGGCGCGACGGGGCCCAGGGGGAGCGCGACGGGGCCTAGAGGCGCGACGGGGCCCAGCGGGCACGACGGGGCCCAGGGGGGGCGCGACGGGCCTAACGAGCGCGACGGGGCCCAGGGGGGGCGCGACGGGGCCTAGGGGGCGCGACGGGGCCTAGGAGGCGCGACGGGCGGAAGCGGTAGGCGGGGGGATCCTAACCTAAGCGTGATACCATGTTAACGTAGAAACGAATGATTACTAGAGGTGGAAACCTAGAACAAATACTAGTTGGTTGTACTCACTAGAAGCATACCTCAGTCTAGCCTATAACTTCTACATAGATAATATGTATAAGTTGACACCCGGCACCGACTCCCGTACTCGCCAATGACACCGACGACAGCGGCGACTCTGAAAACGATGATGGTGAGGCTCCTGCCAATATTGCTCGCCATCGCATTCTCCCCCGCCCCCCCTTGGTCCCACGCCCGCAGCAACTACCTTCATGCGTAAGGGCGTGCGCGACCAGACCGAAGTCTTCACTGCTATCCAAGCGCACCTGCAGCACACCGACTTCGAGCTGCAGCACGGCAACGTCACCGGCGCACTCAACAACGTGAAACACATCGAGACGCTTGTTAATAAGCGTTTCGAGGTGCTTCTCGTGGCGGATGAGGCCGGCTTTGAGGCCGCTGATCGCTTCTGGCTCTACCAGTCCAAGAGTGTGCTGACGTCCCGTTCCTACAAGCTGGCGGTCGCCGACGTGGCTGCACTCAAGCGCGCACGCGCCATCTACCCCTGTGGTGGTCGTCGGCGGTCGTGACGGAGAAATGGACCTCAAAGGCTCCCCCCTCTTGCGTGCCAGCAGCCACGCTTCAAGGGCGTGTGCTTCCGCTGTGGCGAGCCTGGTCACATGGCTAACACGTGCCCCATGGGCGGGCGTGGAGCACAAGGCCCCTTACCGGTGGTGTGAGCGGGGTTAGGGCGGTACCCTTCGCCACTATGCAAGAAGCATATTGGGCTGCACCGGGGGTGCATGGCTGGTGGCCGGCCTTAGGACAAGGCAAATGGCCTAGTAGAGAAGGGTAGCACTAGGGACAGAGAAGGCTGTGGGCCTAGAACCTTGTGTTATTCCATGTATGGATCATGCATGCCGTTATGGCGCATTGAAACTAAGATTGCAAAAAAAAAAAAAAAACTTTTGCAAGGCCTCGATGAAAGAGAGAGAGAGAGAGAGAGAGAGAGAGAGAGAGGAGAAGAGAGAGAGAGAGAGAGAGAGAGAGAGAGAGAGAGAGAGAGAGAGAGAGAGAGAGAGAGAGAGAGAGAGAGAAGAGAGAGAGAGAGAGAGAGTGACGAAGGCTCGAGCGCTGAAGGGAGAAGGCATGAATATCAGCCATGCCCCTTTTGCAATTGAACATGAGCCACTCTCCTGCCAACTGAATGGGAGCTATGCCCCCCCTGGAATTGACTATGACACATCCACCCTTTAGGCAATTGTCTGGTCTCACTCACTTGGGTACCTATGTGATTCTTGCCACCCGACCCTTTGGTCCAGCAGAAATTGGGAAAGGATGGTTACACAACGAACATGACCCCTACGAGTACGCGGTTACAGACAAGGACGTAACTGTCATGCATAGTCGATTGCGTCACGCCCTACACTGGTGGTGCTCATGGTGCGATAGCAGTTTCATCCTGTCCATCATCGCGAAAGGATATTGGCTTCCCTGGAAGGAAGCCGTGCCACATGCCTTTGAGGATAGCAATCATGCTGGAGTTCGCACACACCTGGACTTCACTCGTGGAGCGATTCGCGACCTCGTCACCTCGGGTGCCGCCGTCAAGGTCCCTACGAAGGACGCGCTCATGTGTGTCAGTCCACTTAACGTGGTGGAGCAGCGCGACAAGTGTCGCCTCATTCTTGACTTGCGCAAAGTCAACAACTACCTCGACATCCCCAAGTTCAAGTACGAAGGCTTGAACAGGGTAGCCGAACTCATCCGCCCAGGCGATTGGATGTTCTCCATCGACCTAAAGTCAGGCTACCACCATGTCGAGATCCACCCCTCCTGCTGGAAGTTCTTGGGATTCTAGTTCGAAGGAGACTACTATTCCTTCATATCGCTCCCGTTCGGGCTTGCCACTGCCCCGTTCGTCTTCACACAACTGATCAAACAACTGGCAAAGCGATGGCGGGCAAGCGGTGCGGGTTGTTCCATATGTCGACGACTTACTATTCCTCTGCAACTCCCACTCGGATGCACGCTCGATTGCGCAGCTTGTTCAGGACCTGAAGGCAGCAGGTTTTGTTATAAACGGCAAAAAGTCACATCTACACCCCTCGCGCCAGATAGCTTTCCTCGGCCTGGAGATTGATGCCGCCCAAGGCACCTTCTCCGTCGGACTCGAACGTCGAGCACAACTTTTTGCTTCACTCCAAGCCCTCATCACCCAGGGACAAGAGGGACGACCGGTTCCCATCCGGTCCCTTGCGAGAATCACAGGAATGCTGGCCTCCATGAATCTGGCATTGGGCGCTACGGCACGTGCCTTTAGTCACGAGCTCCTTCGACTTATTGCAGACGCCACCTCTTGGCACGCCAAGGCACACTTGTCGTCGACAGCAGTGCACGAGCTGCATTTTTGGCTTGCGCAGTTCGACAAGTTCAACGGAAACCCATTCCATCTCAGTCACCAGTTCGATGCAAGCGCACACAGCTGGGGCGCCACCCTGACACAACTTCCTGGGACGCCCATTGAAGCCAGTGCTCGCATGCCCGAGGAACTACTGCCCACCTCCAGCACTCGACGGGAACTCGAAGGTTTTAGGCTCTCCGAACTTTCGCTGCCCGCATACCCAAGTGCCACGTGCTCTTCGGGTAGACAATCAAGGCGTGGTATTCATCCTACGCAAAGGTGGATCGCGCCACCCCACGCTTACGCTACTATGTCAAGCAATCATTCGCCTCTGCCTGGAACACCAAACAAGGCTAGCTGTCGAATGGATCCCACGAGAGCTGAATGCGCACCGACGAACTTTAAAAAATCCAAGACCACGATGACTACTCCCTCAAAGCCCCGTGGTTCCGGCTCTTGGATCGCCGCCTGGGTCCCCACTCTATCGATCTCTTCGCAAATGTGCACAACGCTCAGCTGGAGAGGTTTTGTTCCAAGATTCCATACCCTACGGCCGCAGTGTTTGATGCTTTTTCGTTCAGCTGGTAGCACGAGCGCGGCTTTGCGTTTCCCCCTCCCAACCTCATTCCAGCTACATTATGACACGCTAAACGCACACACGCTGAGGTGACCTTGGTCATTCCCGAGTGCCCGGGAGCATCATGGTGGCCAATCCTCCAACAGGCACCTGACGCCTGGGTGCCAGAAGTAACGGCACACATTCCCCTCACCCACGGCAGCCAATGCCTACGCCCCGGCAACACGCACTCGCTTTCGCAGGACAAGGCTTTCCTCCTAGTAAGATGATTGCACTGCATGTCACGTATAAAAAATAAAATAATTGTACTCTACGCTGTACCTTTTCAGGCATTATAACGAAGCTGCAAACGCAACTACTACACTAATCACCCATGTCCGTGCCCCTTCCACCATCCGAACGTATGAGCCCTACTTGCTCAAATTTCGCTCCTTCTGCATGAAGGTGAAGTTGAGCTACTTGCCTGCAACGGATATGACCTTGACAATCCACCTCATTCATGCACTAAATCACCAGGCCACCACATCTGCCATATCGCTTACATGCTCCGCCGTCGCCTTCGCGCATCGCATGAATGGCGAGCCCTCTCCCTCGACTGGACCATTTACACTACAAGTGCGCGAATTTGCCAAACGCCATGGCCCGCGCCCCACGCGGAACAAGGAACCTTTGTCGCTGCACCAAGTTCACACCATGGCCCGCCCCTTTCTGGAGTCCACCCGGCCGGCCGAATACCAGAAAGGACTCATCCCCATCCTTATGTTCGCCGCCTTCCTACGCTACTCCGACCTCATCAGTCTCCAATGGCATGACATACAGTTTGAGCCTGAGGCGATGTGGTTGCTCATCTCGCACTCCAAGACGACCAGGAAAGCAGGGGCACGTGGATTCCGGTCGCCGCCACTTCCGGCCCATACTGGCCGGTACGCTGCACACGACACTTTCTTCTCCTCGCGGGTCACACCTCCACCCCACACGGGCCATTGATCCGAGTCTTCGGGAACAGCAGTACAGCAACTCCACAAGACCACGCACCTTGGTACACCACCATCCGGAACTGGTGCCTTGAAGCATTCACCTGGGCCGGCCTCGATAGCGCACACCTCGGCACCCATTCCTTTCGCAAGGGCGCTGCTACAGCGGCAGTCAGCCTGGGGATATCCGACCGGCTGTTCAAGCGACTTGGCCGTTGGCGCAGCGATCAGGGCCTCAGATAGGAATTCTAGCATCCTGATCACTCAGGGCTGACCGCTTCTATGCATACTGATTCCTCAGGGTGATTCCCAAGTTCTATACTATATGTGTATCTCTTATGCTTTGCATAAACTGTATAGGGTCACCTCTTAGAGGGTACAACACTTAAATATATTCCCTGTACTCTCCCGCTCTGATACCATATCAAATGGAATGAATGATAATAGAGAGGGAGAGTACAGGGAATATATCTAAGTCTTGTACCCTCTAAGAGGTGACCCTATACAGTCTATGCAAAGCACCCCCAGCAGCCGCAGGTTTCGCCGACCCGCCTTTGGACTGGGTCACCTGGTGACGCGTCTGCGTTCCGCGTTTGGGGCTGCCTTGCTCACGTCCGTGCCTCCGGCACGGACAAGCTCACTGCCCGCACCCTTCCCTGCGTCTTCCTAGGTTTTCCCCTTGACCCGTCCGACTGGCACTTCTACCACCCGCCGTCTCACCGCTTCTTTCACTCTCGCGACGTCACCTTTGACGAGTCCGTCTCCTTCTACTGTCGCTTTCCCCACCGCGGTCCCCCGGTTACCCCCGCCCCGTTCCTGGTCACTCCTTCCCCGGTGGTCCCTGCCCCCCTCCCTCCTCCTCCCCGTCCTGCCCCCTCTGGTGTGTCCCACGTCACACCTCTCCCGTCGGTTGTACCGGTTGAGGGGTCTTCTGACTATGGTGGTCCTGCGGCGCAGTCCTCGCCATCTGCCCCTCCCCAGGTGTCTCCTCCTCCACCGCCTTTGCAGCCGCCGTCGCCTCTGCTGTCACCGCCGTCGTCCCCGCAGCTGCCGCCGCCGTCGCAGCAGCCGTTCGTTGCCTCTGGGGGTGCTGGCGTTGGAGTGGGTCCTAGCCCCGGTGGCCCTCGGGGTGGTGCTGGTGCCCGAGGGGTTTCGGGCCCTGGGAGTGTTCCTTCTGGGGGGTGCTGGAGTGGAGTCTTCCGGTGGTACCCGAGGAGCAGCTTGCGGTCCCGGTGTTGGCGTTGTGCCGCCGCAGCCGCAGTCCCCGCCAATGTCTGCCCTTTGCCTGCTCGGCCTTCCGTCCCTGACCCTGTGTCCGTTCCTCTCCTCCCGTCTCCTCCTCTTCCCGTTTACGGCCCTGTGTTCCCTCCGCCGGACTCGTCCCCGGCTCGTCTTGTCCCTCGCTCTCCCCTTGTGTTCCCTCCTCTGTCTCCTGACCCGACTCCTTCGTCTCACGTCTTGTCTCGCCGTCCCTCCCGTGCTCGCCCTGTCTCCCCGGTCACGCGCTCTCAACCTATGTTGCTTCGGTCCCACGCGTCTCGTCCTCCCCTTCTCCCGTCCCCTCCTCCATCCTCCCTTGTCGTTGCTCCCCCCCTTTGTCTGACTACCTTCGTACCACCCGTCCTCTCGTTCCTCGGGTCCTTGCCTCTCTCGTTACCGACCCGTCTGTTCCGGTCTCGTGCCTTGACGCTCTTGTCACTGCGGTCGCTGACTTTGTCTCTACCCGCCGCCTTGACTACGCCACCGCTCTGGTCTCTGACCTTGCCTGTCATCCGTCTGTCGGGGGTGCTCCTGCCCTCGGCAGTGACGTCCTGGAGGACCGCCAGTTCGAGCTTGCTTTCCTGTCCGAGGCTGCTCCCCATCTCTGTTCCATGCTGCTAGTCCCTGAGGGTGACCCAGACGCTTTCGACATCCCGACCCCTCGCACTTACGCTGAGGCGACCTCGGGACCCTGGGCCTCCCAGTGGATAGCTGCCATGGAGCAGGAGATGGCATCTTGGAGATCCGCCGGCACCTTCGTCAACGTAGTTCCCCCACCTGGGGTGAACGTAGTCGATGGCCGCTGGCTCTTCAAGGTGAAGTGCCCTCCTGGAGAGCCGCCTATATTCAAGGCGTGCTACGTGGCTAGAGGCTTCAGTCAGCGCGAGGGGGTGGACTTCTTCCAGACCTTCGCTCCGACCCCGAAGATGACTACTCTTCGGGTTCTGCTACACTTAGCAGCTCAGCGTGACTACGAGCTTCACTCCCTCGACT